CGTTTCATTCTGTTTAGTTTATTCCCGGCGGGGGGCGGGAGGTCGGGGTGACCGCGGGGTGATCACGGGGTGACAGGGGCCTGGGACAGGCTCTCACACCCTCCAGGGGATGTTTGGCTGCGAAGTGGGGCCCGACGGGCGCCTCCTCCGCGGGTACAGTCAGTTCGCCTACGACGGCGCCGATTACCTGGCCCTGAACCGGGACCTGCGCTCCTGGACCGCGGTGGACACGGCCGCTCAAATCTCCCGGCGCCAGTGGGAGGAGGAAGGTCGGGCAGAGAGATTCAGAAACTATGCGGAGGGCAAGTGCTTGAGGTTGCTGGGCACATTCCTGGAGTACGGGAAGGAGACTCTGCAGCGCACGGGTAAGAGGGGCCTGGAGGCCTCCCGGTCCCCCCCTGCCTGGAGTCACTGCGGGAAATGAGTCCTCTCTCTAGTCCCGAGAGGGGGACTCCCCTGGGTTTCATGTTCTGCACGAGAGAGACTCCCAGAGACTCCGGCTTCTCCTGAAGGACAGTGAAGGGATCCCGTCTCTCCTGAGAAAGACAGACAGTCCCTGACATCACAGGTCACCGGGTCCTTTTGACCAGGGGCCTGTTTGAGAACCACGAGTTTCTCTCTCAGTCTTGTTTCTGGTCTGAGAACATTTTCAGTTATGTGATTCCTGCTTTTCTGTGTCATTCACCTTCCCCCCAGGTCAGGAATAAAAAGTCTGTGTTCCACTCCCGCTGCTTCATCCTACCCTGGGCTTTCATCCTCATTCTAGAACTTTCTAGGGAATAGGAGAAGCTCATAGATTCCCCCAGATTAGCCTGTTTTTTACATTTTATGCTTCTTCCTGCCACACCAGTTGTCTTGTCCATTGGGAGGATGGTCTCATGAGGATTCTTCAGTGTCCGTGGAGGAAACACAAAGTTAGTTTTCTGATTTACCACCTCAGATCCCCCAAAGACACGCATGACCCACCACCCCACCTCTGAGGATGAGGTCACCCTGAGGTGCTGGGCCCTGGACTTCTACCCAGCGGACATCACCCTGACCTGGCAGCGAGATGGGGAGAACCTGACCCAGGAGATGGAGCTGGTGGAGACCAGGCCTGGGGGAGATGGAACCTTCCAGAAGTGGGCAGCTGTGGAGGTGCCTTCTGGAGAGGAGCAGAGATACACGTGCCATGTGCAGCATAAGGGGCTGCTGGAGCCCCAAGTCCTGAGATGGGGTGAGGAGGAGGATGTGGGCACAGAGGCTGTTCTCAGGGCCATTAGGAGCACTTCTGGAGACCTTCGGAGTGTCAGGATAAGGTCTGGGTCTCAGGGTATGATCTTCCCTTCCCTTCCAGGGCCCCCTCCTCAGTCCTCCATCACCACCATGAGCATCATTGCTGGCCTGGTTCTCCTTGGAGCTGTGCTCACTGGAGCTGCAGTGGCTGCAGCTGTGATGTGGAGGAAGAAGTGCTCAGGTAGGGAAGGGAGTGGGGGATCTTGTCCACTGGGGGCTTTCATGTCCCAGGGAGAACTTGTCCTGCCTGGTTAATGGGAAGTACCATCCACACACATGTGTGTTGCCCAGAGGGCATTTGGTCCAGTCCCCCCTCACCTCCTTTCTTCATTTTTCTGAGTCCTGACCTGGGTCTTTACTCACAGTTCTAGAAACTCCCCTCTTCTGTAGGATTAAAATATTCCTTTAGGTCTTCTGACCTGACTGCTCCCTGGACTCACATGATGTTTCTTCCCACAGAAGGACAAGGAGGAAGCTACACTCAGACTGAGGTAATTGTGGATCAGTGGTTTAATCACTGAGCCCCTGGGACCAGTATAAATGGACTCCGTGGGGGAGTCACCCTCATTTGTCCTTCCTTTGGTCTCATCTCTGACCAGTTTCTGTTTTGTTCCCAACCAGGCAGCAGCAGTGCCCAGGGCTCTGACGTGTCTCTCAGCCCCTAAGCATGTTTTACAGTGAATCTGATGAGGCTCCTGTTGTGCACACCGTGGACAGCACCTGTATTGTGCAGAATTTGCATTTTCAGTCTCTCCTAGGTGTGAAGGTATCACTGTTCTTAACTGTGATATTGAGCATTTGTTCATATTTTTACTTTTCTATCACTACAGTTGCTGTTTGTATGGAAGTTTTGTACATTTTTACAGCTGAAGTACTGTTCATTTATTACATTATTTTTATCCTTATTAAAATTGGGTTCTTTCTTTCTGATCATTGAGCTTTAGGCATTATTTGTAGTTTAAATCCTTTATCAGATTTGTGATTTGCAAATGTTTCCCCCCTACTCTGTGACCTGAACTCCTTTACTGATGGGAAAACAAACACTACTGCCCAGACAGGAGCATGGAGATATATATCTGACTGGGGTGTTGGGGGTGGAAGGGAATGATTTATGCGTATCCTTGAGTGTTATTTAAATGTCCTTGTATGAGCATGAAATATGCCTTGTAAAGTAAATTACACTTCATTCCTCAATTTGTAAAACTCTTCACACATCACGTCATAAGACCAGACTGGCACGTGGGCTACAGGTGAGGGACCCGCATGTCATAGTCGCACAGTCATGGCTTCTCTCAGGGGTCACTCTGGTACTGTCCACTCTGTGGGTGTTAGACAGATGTATAATGACCTGTGTCCATCATGAGAATATCATGCAGAGTATTTTCACTGCCCCTAATGTCTTCTGTGCTCCAAGGAAGCAAAAGCAAAAAGAAACCAATGGAATCACATCAGACTAAAAAGCTTCTACATAGTGAGGGAAGCTATCGTTAAAATGAAAAGACAGTATCAAATTGGACAATATCAAATTTGCACATCATCAATCCAACAAGGAGTTAATATCCAAAATCTACAAAGTACTCCAATACAAGAGAACAACTCAAAACAGGGGCAGAGGAGCTAAATAGGTACTTTTCTAAAGAAGACACACATGTGGCCAATAGGTACATGGATAAATGTTTGTCATGTGCTGTCAGGAAAATGCCAATTAAAACCACAGTAAGTTACCACCTTAGACCTGTGACAATGACCCGTTGAAGGGTATGAAGGAAAAGGAATTCTGGTACATGATGGGTGGGAATGGAGACTGGTCCTGTTAGCAGGCAGAAGAAGAGGTTCCCAGGACCCCCAAACCTGCACACTCTACATGGGATCTGCCATCAGCTGCATAAAGACAAAACATACTCTAAAGCATAAGACCTTCAATAGAAAAGAACTTTAATACAATTACTATAAAATAGAGAATCAGTGTGCAATAGAGAAAGAGAAGAGAAAGAATATAGTTAGAATAGTTCCCAAGTGAAGCACCCAAAGTTACCCATCCCCTCATGGGTAAATGCCCAGCCAAACAGGCTTGGCCCAAAGTAGACCCACTGGGACCCGAAGGCCTGCCACAAGGCTAAGGCACCTACTGGTAGAGACCCATGGGAAAGGGGCAGGAGGGGCCAGGTGAGTCTGGAAGGAAAAGAACAAAATCAAAATCCACATCAAGATAACAGCTGCCATTGTCAGCCTCCCCATGAATCTCTCATCCATGTTTTTGTCTCTTTCACATGTTTCTTTCCATGTCCCCAATTCCCCGGCACAAGTCCAAGTGAGAAGCAAGTGTGGTTTCTTCACAAGTCTCTCTGCTCCATGCACCTCCTCCAGTCTCCTCTCCCCATCTTGCTCCACGTCTTCCTCCTCTTCCTTAGCTTCTCATCCCTGCTCATCTCCACCTTTCCTTGGGTGGGCAAGTAACCTGGAACCTCTCTTTTCTATGGATAGCACATTGGTGCTGCCCCTATGGAAAAAAAAGAAGGTTCCTCAAAATAGACCTGTCCCATGGTCAAGCATCCCATTCCTTGGTATTTATCCAAAGAAAGTAAAAACACTAATTGTGAGGAATATGCACCTCCTACAGTCACTGTAGCACTGTCACCATAACCAAGCAATGGAGACAACCTAAGTGCCCAATGGCAGATGAGGGGATAAAGAATACAAGCTATATACACAGTGGAATACTACTCAGCCATGAAAAAGAAAAATACTGACTTTGCAACAAGGATAGATATGGATGGGATTATTCTAAGTGAAATAAGTTTGAAGGAGAAAGTTAAATACTGGATGATTTGATCATATTTGGAATATAAAGAAACAAAGCAGGGACAGATGAAACTAAACCAAAACAGACTCTATATATATGACTGCAGAATTGAAGTTATGGGCTGGGAGTAAGAGTATGAACAAAGTAGGACGAGGGCTCAATGGACTGTGATGAAGACTGTGGTGCCCTTAGGGTGGGTGTGATGTGGTAAGAAACATTTGAAGAGGTGTGACCCTTGCCTCTGAACACATGCAGTGTGTAAACCAATGCTAGCCTTAATTGAATAATACAAAGAGGGAAAAAGAAAAGAAAAAAGTAAATTATCTCCTCCATCAGTCACTGACCTCAGGACTTTGCCTTCACCTCCTCACTGTCATTTAGGCTGAGGAGCTGGTTTCCCACAAGGGCAGAGGCAGGAGGTGCAGGGACTCCTGGGGCTGCTCAGATACTGCTGAGTAGAGACACTGCAGAGAGGGTGGCTCTGAGGGGACCAGAGACAGAGGATCAGAGTAACCTCAGTGCTGAGTGAGGATCTGGTTCCCAAGGAGAGGAGAGTGTGTGTGTGTGTGTGTGTGTGTGTGTGTGTGTGTGTGTGACACAGGAATGACAGTATATACAACATAAGATGATGGAAAGTCAATTAACGTCAAGCCCCAGAATAATTCAAATCGCACACAGAGTAAAGAGTGTCAGAACAACACCTCAATAAATACAGTTCCATGGAGAAGCAGCTTCTGAGCAGGACTGAAAAAGCATTGGCCCTAAAGAAGAGGAGGAGGTTTAGAAACATCTCATGGTTGGCTTGAAGTGTAAGGAGCTGGGTAGTAACCCTTCCCCCACCCTCACCCCTGCTAGGATGTGGTGGCACATCCTGACAGCTGACAGCTTCACCCCTGACAGCTCCCTCCCCCAAAACCCAACGTTCATCTCCTTTGGCATCACCTGTATATGTACATATATGTATGCACGTAATCCCAGCTTCTTCTTAATTTCCCACCTCTTTGGAGGCATGTAGGAGGTTCCCATAGCTTGGCTACTGTAAAAAGTGCTGCAGTGGTGACGGGAGTGCAGGTCCCTTCACAGGAGAGTATTTATCCTCTGTGAGGAGATCCTCAGTGTAGAATTGCTGGGTCCAATGGCAGAACCACATTCACTCTTTTAAGAAACCTCCGTACTGTTTCCATAAGGGCTGGCTCAGTCTATATCCAAACACAATGCAGGACTGCCCCCTTTTTTCCACATCCTTGCCAGCACTTGAGTTTCTGGTCTTTTGGATATGGGCCATTCTCACAGGTGTGAAGGTTTAAACCAGGAGATCATAAAGCCAGAAAATGTGGGCAAAAAGAAATCCTGTAACACTCAGGCCAACACAAGGCTGTATCACACTGTGAAAAAAAATAATGATGAAGAAATTCAGGTGAACGACCTGAGTGTTAACATTATCAATGGTCCACTGCATTCTCAAGATGTCCTCCTGAAAGCATCCCCATCTCCTAGTCCCAGCCTCTCTGTCTCAACCCCCACCCCACTGCAGTCCTCCAGGGTCTCACCTTTAGGGACTGAGATACACTTCGGAGCACTGGGACTGTGGCTGCCTGGGGGAGAACACAACAAAACTTGGTCAGAGATGACACCGGGGAGGAACTAATGAAAGTGACTCCCCCATGGGTTCCATCTACACTGTCCCCAGGGGCTCAGGGACCAAACCCATGTTCCACACCTACCTGCAGCCTGAGTGTAGCTTCCTCCTTGTCCTCCTGTGGGAAGAAACATCATGTGAGACCAGGGAGCAGTCAGGTGAGAAGCCTAAAGGAATCTTTTAGTCCTGCAGAACAGGGAAGTTTCCAGAACTGTGAGTAAAGACCCAGCTCAGGACTCAGAAAAATGAAGAAAGGAGGTGAGGGGGGACTGTACCAAATGCCCTCTGGGCAACACACGTGTGTGTGGATGGTACTTCCCATTAACCAGGCAGGGCACGTTCTCCCTGGGACATGAAAGCTCCTAGTGGACAAGATCCCCCACTCCCTTCCCTACCCCCTCACACATGAAGCCACCTTTTGTCCAATGAGCACCTCCAAAGAAAGCCGAGCCGGAAATGAGGACCACGGCAAGGATGGAGAACTGAGGAGGTGGCACTGGAAGGTAAGGGAAGGTCAGACCCTGAACCTGAGGCCTCAGTCTGACCCCTCTGAGGGTCTCCAGAAGGGCTTCTGATGCCCCTGAGTTAGCCATGTGCCCACATCCCCCTCCTTACACCATCTCAGTACTCGGGGTGCTATCAGCCCCTCATGCTGCACATGGCACGTGTATCTCTGCTCCTCTCCAGAAGGCACCACCACAGCCGCCCACTTCTGGAAGGTTCCATCTCCCCCAGGCCTGGTCTCCACCAGCTCCATGACCTGGGTCAGGTCCTCCCCATCTCGCCTAGGCCAGGGTTATGTCCACAGGGTAGAAGTCCAGAGCCCAGCACCTCAGGGTGACCTCATGCTCAGAAATGGGGTGATGGGTCACATGTGCCCTTTGGGGGCCTGAGTTGGAAGAATCGGAAATTTCATAACATGTGTTTCCTCCATGGACACTGAAGCAGCCTCGTGTGACCATCCTCCAGTGGACAGAACAGTGTGCTTGGAGGGAGGAAGCACAAACCCCAGAAACCAGCCTGGTCTGGGAGTCCGGGATAGCAGGTGAGAGCCCAGGGTGGGATGCAGGTCTCTGAGCATTTTGCTGCTGACTTGGGTGGAGGGTGATGACACAGACAGGCAGGAGTGAGATCTCCAAAAATGCTCTCTGACCAAAAAACAACATCTTGAGAGAGAAACTCATTGTTCCTACGATGGCTGCTGGTCAAAAGGATCCCGTGAAGGGTGATTTCAGGATGGTCTCCCCTCTTTCTCAGGAGAAATTCGATTCCTTAACTGTCCTACAGAAAAATTAGGAGCCTCCTGGCCAGTCTCCATCCCAGAGCTGGAAAACGTGGCCGACAGCTCCCTCTCTGGCCAGAAGGGGGCGCTTCCTCACCATGATTCCATTCCCTGCGGGGTGCGCGCCTCAGGGAGATCAAAGGCCCCGCAGCCCCTCTTAGGCCCGCCCTTCAGTCACCCCGTGGTCTCCGCCCGCACCCGATCTCCCGCCCTGAATAATCCTGAACTTAAATAAAACCTAAAGGGTGAAAGTCCCGCGGGCTCCTCCCTGGTCAAGGGGCCTGGCAGGGGCCACGGCCTCGGGGTCACGGGGCCCCGAGACTCGGGGCGGGGAGTGGGGCGGGAGCGGTGACCCGCCCCGGCCCGCGCTGCTCCCCGGCCCGGCTCTGGCTGCGGCGGCCGCGCGGGGCCTCCAGGAGCGCTTGGAGCCTCCGCGCCGAGTGTCTGCGGAGCCGCGTCTCCTCGCCCGACCCTCCCGCCCCGCCCGCCCGCCCAGGGGCCCGCGGCTCCGCGCTCTGGCCCGGGGAGTCGCTGTCGAACCCCGAACTGCGTGTCGTCCACGTAGCCCCCGCGATGCACCGGGGCTCCCCGAGGCCGGGCGGGACAACACCATTTCTAACACCCTCAGAGAGGGGAGCCTGGGGCGGGGAGGGGTGAAAGCCGGGCGGACCCTCCTCCCGGGGCAGGTCCTGAGTCCCGGGGAGATGGGGCAGGGGAGAAAGTGTCCAGGAGGGAGGGAGCTCCAGAGACTGAACATGGGCAGCGGGTCCAGAAGGGGAAAGACTCAGGGGACAAAGGAGGAGGCAGGGTGGGGGGGCAGAAAGGGACCAGGACTGAGGGGGACACGGGGGTGACAGAGGCCCTAAGGCAGCAGCTTCCTCTGCAGAAGCCTTTTCCCTCCACCCTGCACTCACCAGCCCAGGTGTCTGTCTGGGCCAGAGCCCTGGAGAGAAGCAGCAGGAGGAGGGTTGGGGGCCCCATGACCAGCACTGCTGGGGTCTGGGGAGCTTCTGACTCCAGGCTGGTGGGTGGAGACTTACCTGGGCAGGCAGTGATGCTGACTGGTTCTCTGGGAACCTCCAGGCACTGGGGACTGAGAACTGGGGAGGAGTCACAAGTGTCCAGGGCCCAGCACAGGTGGTAGAGAAAGAAGGGAGGCTAAGGGGGCAGTGGGGTATCCCCAACAGTAACCTTCCTGCCCTAGACACAGCCCTGGGGCCTAGAACTATGAGAACCAGACTAGGGACCTGGGGCTTTGCTCTGGCCCCTCCTCTCCTCACCCAAAGCTTTGTCACCCTGTCTCCCTGATTCCAGGCCCAAGGACTGGGTCAGTGATTCTCAGTTATTTTCCTTTCCAGATCCGTGTCCGGTCTTACAAATTTGGGAGGACTCCAAGTATAATCTTGTTTAGGAGGTATCGCTACCCATATTTACCACACTGGGAATAAAGCTGTGTTTAATCATGTAGCTATTTCATTTAGAATAATAGTAATAATCCAATGCATGGTAATAGAAGTGTTCTTAAGAAAAATAACTTATATCTTAAAATAATCATGGCAATAAGAAGAGTGGATATTTTACATTTTTTTTTTATTTTTGCAATTGTCTTTCTTGTCTGTCTCATTAGAAGACAGTAGGATTTTCATGTTTCCTTCTGCATTTATTTTTTTTTAAGATTTTTTTTTATGCATACAAGAGCTGGGGTACAGTGCAGAGATGCAGGGTGTGAGAGGATTCACCAGAGACAGAGTGGGGAACAGAACAGGCGGACTGACTGAAATACACTGCCAAGGGGAGCAGCAGGCAAGTCAGGAGAGGTCTGCTGAGCCATGATGGTTGCTTTCTGGCTGGCCTGGAATCGAACTCTGTGCTGCAGAAGCTGCGGACTGCTTCACAGAGCAGTGCTTAACCCCCTGTGTCACCAGGGAGGCCCTCCTGTATTTAGTTTGTGATTCTGGTTGACGTCTATGAAAAATGTATACAGCTTCACACAAATATGTTGTAGTAGTATTTTCACATAATTATGAATTTTCCACTTTGATACTAAATTAAAACTATACAGGCGGTATTTTCTGGAAGGTTATTTGCAAAGTGAAATCTGAAACAATATCATTGAATATTTCTTATTCTGTTATATTTCCATAGTTCTCTCTTGCATATTGATGGGGTCTTGTGCTAATGTGTGATTTTTTTTTAAAGAAATATATTGTTCCACTAAGTTATAAAGCTCCTCAGTGTTCATTACACTGGAATCAAATTATTTTAAAAAATTCATTTTATTTTTCACCACAAATCCCAAAAGTAAAGGTAGTGCTGGAAATTGTCAAGTTAATGATGGGACACAATTTTCCATAATTCTGTTTTTTTCTGAGCACTTACGTGTTGTCAAGGCAAAGTTACCATCAGTTGGGCCTCCCTGGTGGCGCAGTGGTTGACCGCTGGGTTGCAAAGCTGCCTGCAGCCTCTGCAGAGCCCTTTGGATCACTGGCGGTTCTATCTCCAGCTGCCGGGGCGAGGGTCCCACATGGCGGGTCCCACATGGTGTGCAGACCTCTCCTGCAGCCCCCTGCTCCCCTCAGCAGTGTACTTCGTTAGTCTGCCTGTTCTGATCTCTGCTCTGGCTCTGGTGAATTCTCTCACCCTCCTGCACTTCTGACTGTACCCAGTGCTTCTATAAACAAACAAACAAATAAATAAACAAATAAATAAATCTTTAAAAAAAAGTTACTGTCAATTATCAATTGTCAGTTGATTTTTTTAAAGGAGCACACATTCATTTTCAGGACGATGTCTGCTAATTAACCAAATCAAATAGCCACAGTTTTTGTCATTCCTTCCTTCATGTGAAGATGGTATTGCCTACAAAAAAAGAGAAACAGTCTAACTCATCTCATGCAAATATTATCCATGGTACATGGTAGTTGGGACACAATAGAAGTGCTCTGTGTGTACTTGTGTGTCATCATGTCAGGAACTGTAAAATGTGGATTTGAGGTTAATAAAATAATGAAAATAATTTTCAATGCCTCAGCCAAGACACATTGAAATGAAACTGGCTTGGAATTTTGTTTCTGAGGTAAGAAGTGGTGAAGAATAATTACTGCTATAGTTAGTAATATAAGCTCCATTTTTACGAAGTTTTACCTCAGCAAATGTCAAAATAGTGAAAAGGCCAATGGTGTCTAAGTGACGTTTTGAAAATAGTTTTACCTCAAGGTTCCTGTGACAGGTTCTGGGTGACTTCAAGGATTCCACAACCACACTTTGAGAAATGCTTTTCTCAGTGAACCAGGGAGCATCTCCTAAATGTTTTCTGCCTTTGCCTCCTCTTCACTTCCCAGCATCCCTCTCCTTGGCTGGCTCCTGCATCCCAAAGCTGCACCCCTTGCAGATGCAATGGAGAGCAGATAGAAGACTCTGGAGATGTGGAGCTTGCACTGTCATGAGAGATGGACACTGAGTAAAGGTGACAAAGACACGTGAAAACCCAACCTGAGCCCCATGCTGGGAGGAAGGAGCATGTTTACTGTGAAAGCAGAGAAGCAGGAGCCCTAACAGGTTCCCTTCTATTATTTTAAATAATATCAAAAGATGTACAAAATATATTAAAAACAGGACCTCCCTGGTGGTATAAGGGTTAAGTATCGGTGTTATCACTGGGTAGGACTGAGTTTGACACCCTGCCAGGGAGCAACCCACATGGCGCAGCAGACCTCTCCTGTCTCACCCACAACTCCCCTCAGCAGTGGATTTCAGTGGATTGGTCTGTTCTGCTCCGTACTCTGTCTCTGGTGAATCCTCTCACCCTCTGCACCTCTGGCCCGCACCTCAGTTCTTGTATGCATAAATGAAGAAAATCTTATAAAAACAAAATAATAACCTG